AATTCATAGCGAAAAACCGCTGCTTTATTTGACAACAGATTCTGTAAAGACCTGACCAAACACAAAAGAGAGCACGAGAAAATGTCATTATTACAATAGCCTTGAAAATTTGCTTCCCATAAGACCCTAAAGTACGAGCCTCCTGGGAATACAGGGTTAGCCTCAACTCGGGGAAAATGTAAATTGTTACCGCTATTGTACTAACAACATTTTCTTGTGCTTTCTTTTGTGTTTGGTAAGTTCTTTGCGTAAGAGAATCTGCTGTCAAATCAAACAGCAGTTATTCCCTTTGAATTCAAAAATGGAGTATTCTGTGCTGTAACCATGCCACGATTGCATGTTGTCATGTATTCTTCAATCAGCAATGCCATTTGATGTTACTAGCAGCTGATATTCTGTGACCTTGACATGACTGTGTTTTTACAGAGGCATATGAAATCATACCAATATGAATTTACTGAATTATATTTAAGCTATAATTTTTTTGAATTTGGGAACTTGCAGATTAGCCCATGTTTTTTTAAGTTATCAAAGCATACATCAATCAAAGAATTATGAACATATGCAAGCATTTCAATCAATTTAAACAATAAGCTTACCTATCCTTGCTGCTTTCCAAAAAATACCAAGAATTCTGAATAAAATTAAAATGAACAATAAATAGTTGAAGGTGTGTTCCGAATTGTTTTTGAAAAATTGACTTTGGACTTACCCAGTTTTGTTTTTRTCGAGTAGAGAAGGATAGATAGAACGAATATAGGCACACGTACATATCAATAATAGCACAACTGTTAGAAGACTTTGAAAATTAAARATGGCAGACTGTGAAAAAAATCAAACCAAAATTTGAGCTGCATACAATTAAAATACGGAATGCTTATAGCTTATAACCGGTGCAAAATTCGTACCATATTTAAAAGGATCTAAAGAAGACATTTATACTAATAGTTTTCTATGTAGTTTTTGCTCAATTTGTTGAATGATACCGCTGGCGTATGAACACGTCGACAACGTCGACTAGTTTCCAAGCACTTCCGTTATATCATGAATCAGGAAGCCCAAATCAGGTGATAAAAAAATACATCCATAAACTTTACAAATGTAAATCACTCCACGATTTTCGCACGTACCGGCCAGGGACCACCAAGAATAGTGAAAAAAAAAAACATATTGAAGCAAATGGCCTGAAACTTCGCAAAATTAAAAATGCAAAGAAAAACACAACACACAGGTAGAGATGTTTATTTTTATTGTCGAAATTTATATATTTGGAAAAATTGCTAAAAACCACACAAATACCTACAATGTAGCTTGGGTGTTTGTTGTTTGACGTCAATCGCATATTTGGTTGCGTCCCTGTGGAGACAAACCAAAACATCCAGTAGGTCGACGTAGGTCTCAAACTACTAAGCTTAAGTTGTCAACAAGTAGTTTACATTTGAAAAAAGATTCAAAGAAATGGGAAACTGTCAAGTGACAGAAACTTGGATGCCGAACATTGGCAAGCCATACGTCGTTCGCCTTGAAAGATTGCCGAAATCGTGCGGATGGTGCGGCGAAGACAGGGAACTGTTTATCAATGATGTAAAGATGGAGAACTTTGCACTGCCACAACCTACATGTAGTAACTCTTGCAGTCCTCTCTGTGGTCCTGACGTTTCATTCGCTTGGGAAGACCATGGTCATCGATTTTTGTTGCAGTTTAATTCGATAACTTGCTGTTCGGAAAAGTATTATCGCCTGTTTGTTGATGGAGTTGATGTCGGCACGGGCTTAGGCTTTTCGGCCTACTTTAAACGACAGGGGTTCATTCGTTTGGTGGCTGCACTGATCTTTTTTATCTTGCTTGGTGGAGGTATTGCTCTGGTAATATTACTCAGAAATGGTCTTGGACAGCTTTGGATTCCCATCAACCTAGGCTTTTGGRCTATKTTCYTCTTCTTAACTGGGATCATTGCAGTATGTAAATTTCAAACCAAAAGCGAGGTTGAAAATCAAGCTGCTCCTTCATCGTGGCCGGAGGCTTATCGKTCAACAACCACGGATGGTAACATTGCTTGATTCAAACTGAACGTTTGAAGTATTGAAACGAGTCATGTCTGCACATAGAAGAAGTTGAAGGTCTATTTTTTGACAAARTTGAACTCATCTTTGATTTAGTTTAGTTTTAGACTACCTATACTTAAAATATTTTGCATTTTATACTGACTTCATGAATATTAGTTTGTACACCCTATTCAAGACACAGATCGACACAGAGGCCAAAAAAACATACCCTATTTATGGGGGAGTACCTCCTATAAATCAAAGTACTTATTGAGAAGCTACATCAAGACATCAGCACTAAGGGACGGTCCCCATTTAAYTTGAAAAATCCTACAAGCCATCTTCACCGAAAATAAAAATCGTGCACAACATATCGACCTAAAAAAAATCTTGCACCACCCTAAGCCCCCCAAAAATGTTACATACAAGAAGAGAAAAAATCCTACACACCACCAAGAGAGAAAAATATATCCTACCCAAAAGCCACGAAGAAAAAAAAATCTTGCTCACAAGAAATCATCCMCCCCCCCCCCCCTCAAAAGTTAAATGGACCATCCCTAACTCGAAATAAAAATTGCTTCTAGGTATTTTAGTAAAGTGAACACACTTAATCTTTGAAATTGTAACAATTTCTACTATTTTGTGCAAGAATTTAGTAAATGGTGTACGTTCATAACCAATGGATTGAGATTCAAAGGATGTTAGTTGCTCTTCAGTTGCAGATTTAGTGCAAATTTCTGTATGTACACTATCTAGGATTTTAATCCATGATGTGCTTCCGCTACACTGTCAAATTTGTTATTAACTGAATTTTGGTTTGAGAATTGACTTTCACATGTACGTGTAAGTCAACTTTGTAGCGTCATTTTCACGATKGTCCACACTAGGTTTTGTGGGAATAGTCTCCTTCACACCTTATCCTACACCATATTGAAGCCTTTGGATCAAAGTGAGACAACTGTTGTACAGACAACCTTCTTTTATACCTTACTCATGTGGATCTAACATTGCACACTCAACAGTCATCWCACCTTGATGGAAAGGCATAAGAAAAAAAAAAGGAAACGCACACTCTAATTTGCAGACAAAAATTCAAGCAGTATTTGAAATGATGAGCATTTTTAATTTAACTGGCAGAAAAGTCAACTGCAGGAATACAAGAAAAAAACAGGATGTAGACTGCAGGAATGATCTCCATGAAATTTTAATTTATAGGATTCAAAATTTCAAGGAAAAAAGATTTGAAAAGCCTACTGTGGACCCTGAATATCAAGAATCATTTACGTACCATATTTGCTATTTAATCTTATATATTTATATTGCACGGACATATTATTTAAGGAAAAAATACATGTGAAAATGTGTGAAAATACAATAAAAAGTTTTAAACCTTGTACTTTGAAAGTTCTGTTTCATACAGAGGCTGTTTAAAAGTGAACTCACTGGACATAACTGGACATTAACTGGACAAAGAAAGCACAAGACTGTGGTACACTATTTATTTTGTCAGCTTTCATTATACATAAATTTTATATATTTAAAGAGTTCCTACTACACTGAAGAAGGAACCTATGCAAAATTTGGCAAAAACTCATTGTGAATTTAGCTGTGACAACCAAATATGGTATCAAAAATATCCTAATTAGTTAAGAATGTTCTGGACCATTGTGTAGTAATTACACATGTCAATCCCYTTATGATTTTCTGTTTTGGGATGAACACTTGTTAGGCTTTTTAAAAGTAAGTTAGCAAAATTGACATCAATTTAGTAAATGAGTTCAACAGTGTTCAACCTCAGTGGTGTGTTGACATTAATAAAAACTTCACTGCCAGCAACACATTTCAACAAAATACATACAGCCGAAAACTCTACCAGCTGACATTTAGGGGTTCATCTTTGAAATAATTGATTGAAAAATGACCCCTGGTAGTGGATTTCAATTTTGTTATAAAGGTCGCGACTATACAGCAGTAACAAGAGCAGTATGGTTTCAAGGATCCAACATAAGTCCAATTTGTAAAACTKTACCAACACTGCCCTAGTTTTAAGAAAGACCATACAACAATGTCAAGTGAATAGAATCGCTAAAACTTCACAGATCTTTGGTACATTCATTTGGTGTTTACTTGATTGTTTGTAGAAGCTCAAAAGCTGAGTACATTGAATCTGTAAGAGAATAAGACTAAATATATAAATGATATTACAGTAAGACCCTGAATATAAGAACAAGTGGATCAAGAACACCCAGCCTGATTTATGGCATTTTAGGTAACATGTGAATAAGAACACAATCAGCCTGAAAAATCAAAATACTGTAATGTTCTAATTAAGGAATATAAAACGGCGCGTGTCTCTGTCCTCTGATATAAACACGGTGGGAGTTCGAAAAACACGAGAGAAGCAAGCTTAGGAACACGAGCGTAGCGAGTGTTTCTCTTGCTTCTCGAGTGTTTTTCAACTCCCACCGTGTTTATATCAGA